GTCCCCCCCGGCTGTGCAGGCCCCTTCCTCCTCCCTCCAGCCCCTTCCTCCTCCCTCCAGCCCCTTCTCCTTGTCAGTAGCCCCTTCCTTCTTGCTAGCAGCCCCTTCCTTCTTGTCAGTAGCCCCTTCTCCTTGTCAGCAGCCCCTTCCTCCTCCCTTCAGCCCCTTCCTCCTCCCTCCAGCCCCTTCCTCCTCCCTCCAGCCCATTCTCCTTGTCAGTAGCCCCTTTCTTCGTGTCAGCAGCCCCTTTCTTCGTGTCAGCAGCCCCTTCCTCCTCCAACCATCCCCTTTTCCTTGCCAGAAGCCCCTTCCTTCTCTCTCCAGTCCCTTCCTCCTCTCTCCAGTCCCTTCCTCCACTCCCCAGCCCCTTCTCCTTGCCAGCAGCCCCCTTTTCCCCCGGCGGTGCCCCCCTGCAGCCCCTCTCCTCCCTCCCGTGCCGGTGTGGGGGGTGGTGGGTCCCTTGCCCCCCGTCAGGAGTGGGTTGATGTGGGGCCACGTGCATTTCCACGCGAGGTGTCCGTGCGCGGGGCCATCATGCTGGGACCCGGTGATGGCACTGGGGTCCTTTGGGATTAGGTGGACCCTCACGTTCAGTGCTGGGTTTAGAGGGATTGCTTGGAGCATGGAGGCAGGAGGGGTGTTCTGCAGGCTGGGGGGTACTGATGGGGCCTCTTTGGGAGCAGAGGGTTTGGGAGGGGAGCAAATGACCCGGGAGAGGTGAGCTGTGGTCTGGAGAGTGAGCCAAGGAGGGCTGCCAAGGTTTGAGGAGGATTTGGGTTTGGGTCCCGGGAGGTGGGGGGGACTGGAGGGGAGGGATGGGGCTGCTGGTCTTAGGAGGCACGTGCTCTCGCTCGCAGGGAGGCATATCGTACTCTGGGAGTGTTGGGTTTGACTCATTGAGGCTCTGAACTGGCAAACTGACGTGGGAAAGGTGCGTGTGGGAAGCACTGAGCAAAACACCGGAGTCTTGAGAGCCTCCGTGTCTGCCTGAAAGGGATGCCACGGAAATATTCAACAGCGAGGAGTGGCAGGAACCCCAGGGGACCCTTCAGGGAACTCACGAAGTTGGTTTTTTTTTCCGCTTGTTTGTTCAGTTCTGGCCATAATCTCTGTTCAGGATAGGCAGCAGCACTTCAACCCAACCCCCTCGCAGGTTAGACAGAGGCGGGTGGAGGGGGCACCGGAGGGAGACAGGAATAAAGAAGAAAGAGGGAGCAAAGGTAACATCCTTTCTACAAGATTTCTTTTTTTACTGAGGGAATTGATGAGCTGGGAGAGGGAGGGCAGACACGCCAGAGGACAAGTCCCCTGGTGACCAGATTAGATGAAGCGGAGAGGGATCTATTGCTAAATTATTGATCAAAGCCTGTAAGGTCAGCGGGGAGTAAATCCATGCTGAGCCTAGAAAAACAAATAGGATGGCTGGAGCAGGATGCAGTGTTGAACAGGGAGCACGTGATGTTATTACTGTTAGGGGTGAGGGGTACGTGCAGGAGGGCAGGGTTTGAATTGTGCCCGAGCTCCTTCAGCTCGCTCAAAAGGAATCATTCCCTTTCAGCAGAATTTTGCAGGGTTAGGATGTGGTAGGGAATTCTGCAGGGGCCAAAGGGGAGGTCGCAGTGGAAGGTGATTTAGGTTGTGTTTTGGTGTAAAGAATGAAATGGGACCCCTGGGTCAGCTCACCACTGGCTCTTCCCCCTCCCTCTGCACCCCGAGGGGGCCTGAGGGCAACGGGGCGACGGGGGTTTGCTCCGAGATGTGACTCCGTGATTCATGGTTTAATTTGGAGCGACTGGTGAGGCAGCTCCTGGCATGGCAGAGTGCGAGGTTTCCAATAGCCTTTTCATTTTATTTACTGCTCCAGTGCCAGGCTGGTGATCCATATGGGTTTATTCTCTCCCGCCTCAGATGGAGAGACTGTTAGCTGCTGCTCTCGCCAAATAAAACACGGCATCCTCTCGTGTGATCTGCTGCTGAACCCCCTGCCCTGGAGCGGCTGTGGAGTCCTTTAAGTTCACATCAAAGACAAACAAGTGGTATTTCTCACTACTAGGCATGTGCAGCTCCTGCCTGCTTGATCCTGCTGGCTGCTGTCAGATAGCGGGGTTTTTGTGTTTTCTGGCATTTGTTACTTTTCCTAGTCCAGAGTGGAACAGGGGTTGTGTTCACTTGCTGTAAAGGCTGCTGGTTCTCTGACCCTTAAGGACCTTCCATGGAGTGAAGGTGCCTTCACATTCCTAAGCAGCAGATGCCTGTGATTCCTCGTATCCTCACTGCCCTCAGCCAGTCAGTGTTACTGTGATGTTTTATTTCCTCCACTCCTCTGTAGGATCCCAAGGCCAAGAAGTAAAATATCGCTTATTTGGGGTTTTTTTTTTAGCTGTAGACTGTATTTTTTTTTCTTCAGAAATTACAAGAGTGATATTTGAAGATAACTCCAGGCACACACACCTCCTTCCCCCTCCTGCTTCCTATACTTCTCTGTTTTTTAACTTTGTTTAATTGTGTTCTCTTTGTCAGGTGGAAGATGGGACCGTTCCCCTTGTGTTTTAGGTGACTCTGACACCTGGTTACCATGAACTCCTGAAGGAGGTAGAGGGACAGTAGTGGGAATTTCTTCTCACTCCTCCAAAAAAATCCAACAATTGCCTAATGGTAAGAAAGCCACTCTTTTTAATAAGCCTTATTTTGTACGATGTCCATTTATTGAGGAACTTATTGAAGAATTTGAGATGCAAACTGCTGGGCCACATGCAGGGGGATGGAGGAGGACACAGGCTGTAAATGCTGCATGTTTGGAGAGGGCAGGAGGAGTTGGTTAGAAAATATGATTGTCCTCTGTTTTGTGTCCTCTCGCCAGGGATTACCTCTTATCCTGACGTCATGGGGAGCTGCTGCAGTTGTCTGTGCAGAGACAGCATCCCAGACAACCATCCCACCAAATTTAAGGTAAGTATTGCACCGTCATCCCCATCAGAGAGTCTGTGACAGCACCGACTATCAGCAAAGCCCAGCGTGGGTTGGGCTCCAGGCACGAAAAGAAAGAAAACCTCTGCTCTGCAGAGAAGTCTTTATTTGATGAGATTTGCAGATATATTGTTTTGTTTTGGGTTTTATTCCCCCCCCCCACCACCACCCCCGGCCTTTCCTTAAGCAACCTCTGCTGCAAATATGTTTGTATTTGCAGTAGAAATTGCCTCTGTGCTGAGATTTAGCCTGAGCAAGGAAATGGGGAACTGGAGAGAAACCTTTTATTGCTCAGGGCTGCGTTCCAGCCTCTGTGCTGAGACACATCAGCTGAACTGCCAAGCACACAGTCTCCAGGGCTGCCGGCCTGGCGCCTGCTGCCAGCGCTGGGTTCCTGCTCTGGGCTGAGAAAAAGGCATTTCAGTAAAGGAAGGGGGAATCCACAGGAATTACAGTATCCTCCTGGGTGGGCTTTGGTTTTTTTTTTGTGATGCCAATGCCCTGAGTTTCCTGCTGTGGCCTCTGCAGGTAACGAACGTGGATGATGAAGGTAACGAGCTGGGATCTGGGATTATGGAGCTGACACAGACGGAGCTCATCTTGCACACTCACAAGAGAGATGCTGTCAGGTGGCCCTACCTCTGCCTGCGCCGCTACGGCTACGACTCCAACCTCTTCTCCTTCGAGAGCGGCCGGCGCTGCCAGACGGGGCAGGGTGAGTGTGGAGGTTTCTGGAGGAAGGAACACTGAGGTGTCTGTTCCCGGAGTGAGCTGATGCTTGTGTCTTCCCAAATTCCTGCATCTAATGGATCAACAGGTTCTTCTGCAGCCTCTGTTCCCCCAGAACACCGGAGCGTGCGTGCACGTACAGTTAATACTCCTGATTAAAACGCTAATGAGAACAACATTGTGGCTCAGGACCTGGGCATAAATCTAATGGTCTCGTTTTGCTGCTGCCCTGGTCTCATGAGGTAATTGGTGAAGCAGCCTGGGGCGCTCGGACGGGGGGCAGTTAATGGCAGAGAGGATGCTGGTTACGCTGTCGGCTCTGCGCTCCGGTACCAAACGATGCAGAGCTGCAGCAGGAGGGTTGCTGGACTTCTTTCCTTAGGAGCTAGAAAGTGATTTTTCCAAGGCTGAAGCTTTGTTAAGCATTTTTTCACTCCGAGGATAAAGCAAAAGGGCATCACCTGCACCTTTCTGCAGGAGCCTTTTAGGGTTCACTTATTCCAGAGCTGCCAAACGCACGTCAGTAGCAACAGTTGTTTGAGTAGATTTTGTTTTTCTTGATGCATTCTCTCTGCCTTGCTTAGTGCTAGTCCCACTTAATGCTTTGTGTTTTGTGTCTGGCAGCACTTTGTAACGTAGAGGGAAAGGAGTTTTACGTTTTTCTGATTTTTATGCACGGGGATGCTGTGCACAGAGAAGGGAAGTGAGTCACCCAGGAGCACATGCCAAGTCATCAGCAGTGCTGGGAATAGACTCCAGTATTACAATGGTGCCTGTTAGTTCCTTTACCAGTCTGTCTCTCTTGCTTTTAAAGAGCTGAACGTTTTCTTGGCATCTGCATCTCTGGGAAAGAAAAGTTTGTTTCCTCATTCTATTAATGTGTTTGTAAACTCCTTCTTATCCAAGAGGACTCCGCGTGACTGCTGGGTGTCTGTGTGAGGCACTGCACAAATCTGTAGTGCCGTATGCTCCTTTTTAATATTTATGGAAGTGGGGTTTTCCTCTCCTGGAGGCATGTGCTTATCAGTTGCCAGCGATGGGAATTGCTTGTCTTTGGTTTCTGGGTTGCCTTGTGCAGGATGCAGAGCAGTGATTCTGACCTCCGTGTGTTTGGGTTTTGTTTAGGTCCAGGTAGTGGTGATAAAGCAATTCATGTCTTCCAAAATTTTTAGCAGACACGTACTTGCTCCTCAGTCTTACAGCAGCCAGAAATGAGAGTGAAGGTGATGTGTTTCCACGAGCTTTCTCCCTTCCTTGTAGGATTTATGCAGGTTAGTTAATTTTGTCTGGAGGACTCCTTCCTGCTGCAGCTCCACACCTTATATAAGGCAGATATAGCTATTTTTTTGGCCAGCATTTTTAAAATGTTATTCTTTGGGGTAGCAGCTGTTGTTGCCATGCTGTTCTCGTTGCTATGGCTTCTGTGCGTGTGTGTACGTGCCAGCTGGGGATTGGTGAGCTCTGCCCACACCAGCTCTGCTCTGGGCTGCTCCTTTGGGGAGTCAGGTTTAATTCCATGCAGTTTTGAAATGGGACATTCTTGTGCACACTCCACAGCGCCCAGTTCAGCTTCCAGCAGTCAGTGGATAGACTTTCCCCTGGTCATGAGAATGGAGCTGGGTGCTAAGAGAGTTAAAATAGAAGAGTAGAGAGGAAAGGAGACGGGTTTGCCTCTCCCTTTCACACCTCTGCTCCCGTGGGACCGATCCCCTGAAGCTAACTGGGATGCTCCCTGTTTTTCTTCTAATAATGCCCGGTTTGGTCAGACGGCAGTGGTGGGGCTGTATTTCTGTTGATGCAATAATCCACAGAGTTGTTGGGTGTTTTCCTCTGGCTGGGGGTTGATTGTGTTAAAACACCGCAAAAGAAATTGGAGTTTCCTGTTCGTTTAGAGCCGCGAATAACATCTGCTGTTGGTAAAGCAGAATGGTTTTCTTGCTTTTCTGACCCTCCCCCTCGTTACTCTGCAGGGATTTTTGCCTTCAAGTGTTCCAGAGCGGAGGAGATCTTTAACCTGCTTCAGGACTTGATGCAGTGTAACAGCATTAATGTAGTGGAAGAGCCTGTTGTCATCACCAGGAACAGTCACCCCACGGAGCGGGAGCTCTCCCGGACCCCCCAGGCACCCAACAGTAAGGCTCCTTCAGTTGGGGGGAGCACAGAGATGTGTTCCCTCATCCTTCAAAAGGGGGGAGCACGGACTCGTGGGTGATATCTGCAACTGCCCTTTGCAGCCCATGGATCTCCCCCACAGGCTGCCTCGCTGCTGACCTGTATCTTTATGGCCACGTGTGCCCCGTGCAGCGTGTTTATTTTAAGGCCCTGCCTGTCTGCGATGTGGTGTTTTGTTTCTAAGGAAACAGCAACAAAAAGCCCTTCAAATAGTCAACTGAGTTGTCACCCTTCAGCTGGTTTTCATCTGAACTGCTGCCAAGGGGCTTTTTTTAAGAGGCACCTACAAGGATCGGGTGATTTCTAGAGGACACCACCATATCTGGGAAGAATTTGTATTTGATCAATTCCTGTCTCCTTTAGGAGGGACTTAAATAGATGTCAACGAGAGGGCCTGGCCCTTGTATTTATACTGGGTACTTTATCGGAGGGATCTTGCCCAGACAGGCTGATTCTGACTTTCAGGGTGCAGTTAGGTTTACGCTAAAAATGAAGCCAACCCTATTTTGTACCAAATCAATGTTCTCATACTTCTCTGTCCTGAATCTCTCCCAGGTCTGGGGTACACCGTCCCAGGATTTCCCAACGGATTTCACAGCTTCCCTGGAGAAACCCTCTCGTACCCTGCAGCCCGGCACCCCTCCGTGAGCAGCCTGAGGCATTCTTCTGTGGGTGAAGACTCTACTCATCCCCTCATTGGGCCTGATGAGCAGGTAAACCTGGGTGTCCTAAATTCTGGAAACAACAGACAAGCAGCTTGTTTTGCCAGCAGTCCCATGCAATTCTGGTTTCTCTTACTCCAGCAAAGCTTAGGGGATCCTCATACTTTATCATCCTGTTTTTTTCCCTCTTGTGCTTCATTTTGCTCTCGGAGACTTCTGCTCTGTGACGTTTTGCTAGAACAGATGCTCTGTTGAGGCTGACTGAGTTGGCTTCCTTGATCCACGAGTATTTGTGTGGTGATTATTTAACAGCAGCACTTACCTTGTGAGCCCAGGTCTTGTTTCCTCATGTGTCAGCTGCTGCTGCAACCCCTAAACTCATGTGCAGCTGCATACCCCAGCTCAAACAACTTTTATTTTTATTTTTGATGGCCAGCTCTTTGTTCATGGTTCTAGAATTTAAGATGTTTCCCTACAAAATCCAGTTTGTCTCAGCCAATAGCAGAGAAGCCTGGGTAGGTGTGAGTGCTGCAATATCACCAGTGAGCTGCTCAAGGAAATGGTTTGCAGGTGGCTTTGCTGCTTGTTCTGAGCGTGAAATAGATGATGTGTATCTTCTGCAGTTGGACTCCTTTTCATCTCTCCTTCAGCCCACAAATCCAGAAATGGCTTTTGTGTTTTGCTTCCCAAAATCTTCTCAACTTCTGGAATTGTTTCATCTCCTCCTGCTTGAGCAGCCACTGAAAAATTTCCTGTTCCCGTTGGTTCCTCGGCTGTTGGCAGCTGCTTTGCTCCGGTCTCTTCTCCTTTCACTGTCCCTCTGCTTCTCTCCTTGCAGTCCCACACCTACGTCAACACGGCCAACGGCGACCAGGAGCTGAGGGGCCGCCACTGTATGCACTCCTTGCCTGAAGTCCACCCTCCTTTCCCCCATAGGAACCACAGCTGCTCCCTGGAAGACCGCAATCCCCAGGTTTTTCTGCAGCCGGGGGAGGTTAAGTTCGTGTTGGGTCCCACGTCCAGCTACAGGCGCGTGTGTCGGCACCAGCGGGAGTGCAGGGCCCACTTCTGCTCCCCCAACAACAACAACAACGAGTGTGAGGAGGAATGTCCTTCCCCCCAGTGCGTCTACGAGAACGTCAACGGCTTGTTGCCCCCCAGCACCTCCTCCCTCTGCCGAGGCGGGCGCTTGAAGCTCCTCCGGGAGGACGCGGGCTGCTCCCATCGCAGGCCGGCCTTGCTGCACTACGAGAACTTGCCCTCTCTGCCCCCCGTGTGGGAGTGCCAGCCCCTCCGGCACGGCCAGGAGGACGCGGGCGCCGGGGACACCTTGACGCCTTCCCCCAACGGTTACTCCGAGGCCGGTGAAGAAGATCCCCTGCAGAACTACATGAACTCGGAGAACACGGCGCTGCACGGGGGCGGCAGCCAGCGACGCAGCGGTTTCCTGCCCAAGCCCCGTCGGCCCTGCATGCCCAGCGTCTTCAGCTTCGACTTCCCTCGGCCCTGCCCGGAGCAGCCGCGGCAGCTCAACTACATCCAGGTGGAGCTGGAGGCTGAACCCTGCAAGGGACGTCAGAACCCACCAGTCCCCCGTGTGCCACCTCCCGTCCCCCCCGAAGCCCGCCGGACGGACTCCTACGCGGTCATTGACCTCAAAAAGACAGCGGCCATGTCCAGTTTGCAAAGGGCCCTGCCCAGGGATGATGGGACTTCAAGGAAAACTCGACATAACAGCACTGACCTGCCTCTGTGAGGAGGGGGAACGCCAAGTGCAAGCACTGTGTCGTGGCTTCGGGACCTGCCCTTCAGTGTGTTGCCCGGTGTGGCTTCCATTTGCCATTGCCTTCTGCTCCCCTGGTTACCCCATTACCTGGTGTCATGGGAAGGCTCCTACAGCTGATGTTAAGGCTTGTCTGTCTGTCTGTCTGTCTGTCTTCCCCTCTCCGTCTCTCCCGTGTAGGTCGTTTTTAAAGCCATTTGGGATGTTTGATGGTGCTGTTTGAAGGTTAAATTTCCGGCGAAAGGGGCAGAAGGTGCCAGCGAGAGCACCAGCACTGGGTACAGCCTCAGATCCTGTCAGCTCTCCTGGGCACCCGGCGGCTCCGTGAGCGGTGCCAGCAGCCTGGCTGCAGAGGCAGGGCAGTAGCGTGGTGGGGGCCTGTTTCCAAAAGTGAGTTGCTTTAGGAGCTCCAAATCAAGCCCACTCCCGTGGATTTCATGCCTTGTGACTCCAGATGAGCCCTCGTTTCGGGGTTTTGCCAGTCTGTGATGACTTAGGAACTCACGCTGCGGTCTTTTCCCCCTCAACTCCTTCCTTTCTCCTGTCTTCTCGAAGCTCATTGAGGCTTTTTATACTTCTGTCCCTTTCTCAGTTTAAGATTTAAATTGGGCAACTCTAGAAATTAACAGAGGAGGACAGAGAGCCATGGGCACGGCCACTGTGATCACATAAACCCGATTTCCTGAAGAGACCCCACTTTAAAAGAGGAGGGGAAGACCGCAGCTACAAGAGAGATTTGAAGTTTGATATAGAAAACTTCAGTCCTACCCTATCCTGTTTTGATTTTTAAGGGTTCTTTTTCGGTGGCTGTTCAGAAGTGCTCTTGATTTATTTATTTGTTTACTTATTTATTTATTAAATGGGGTGGGTTTTGGTTTGTTTTTTTTTTTTTTGCATCCCAGTGGTAATTGCCAAAACTGGTGCCAATATGAAACGTGCACTCGCTGTGGCTCACTCCTCCGGTCTGGGGAACGGATCTCGGAAGAAGTTGGTGGCTTTGCTGAGCTGCAGTTGGGGAGAAGAGAATCCAAAATGTTTTGAAGTGGGACTGATTGTCAGAGGGTGGGTGGGAAATGGGACGGGAGGCGTGGGAGTGGGAGCAGAGCCGAGCTTGGAGTTGTATCAAAGCCTTTGCCTACACCCACGTGCCTGGCTGGATCCATGAGAAATATTTGATCAGTGTTTTGAGTGAATGTGCAGTTTGTTTCCTACAACTACGGACTTGGAAGGGCTAAATTTTGGCGTTCGGGTAAATTCGTGGCCTTTGATGTGGATTTTTCTCTTGATACCGGGGCTGGGTCAGAGCTGAGCTGTGGGGCCTCTGTGGGAGGTTCCCTGTAGGGTCTCTCCTCCTCTCCCCTTGCAGGATGTCCCACCACCCCCTCCGCACGGTGACACGCTCCAGCTTTATTATTATTTATTATTACTCTTTGCCGTTAGAAGCTGTTTCAATGAAGAAGTGCTCTGGGTTACTCTGGAATCCCACCTTTCTGCTGTCTATTCTTCATCTTCCTCCCTGGGACAGAGTTGAGGGATCCAGTGCTCTGCGAGGTGTCCCAGCAGAAATGTGGCCAAACCCTGCTGGTTTCTTCTTGTCCCCACTGTTTGCGATGGCAAAGTCAGTGAGACCCCAGCAGGAAAGAGGAGAGAAGCCCATGGTCCAGCTGCCCCCTGCTGCTGAGCTCCAGAAACTTCATTCCCAGGTTTTTGAAGTTCAGCCTTTTTGGTTTTGGTGCTGTAACCTCATATTGAAATGTGACCCTTTTGGGAGCAAGGAGACGTGCCAAACAGTTCAGAAAAAGTGATAAAAGTATGAGTAACGCCACGCTCGTCTCGACAGAACATGGATTTCTTTGCCTGCTGTTGCACTACAAATTCAAAGTGTACCACGTGCTTAAATTCACTGGTTTTTTCCTTTTTTTTTTTTTTTTTTGGAAGTCCTTGTGCTTGTCTTCCATTCTTTTCTCCACCCCAGCCCTGGTGTGATGTATAACTGGAAGGAAACCTGAGTAATATATTTTTATATATATACCAAATGACTTTATTTGAAGGAAAACAAAATAAGTAGACAAGTAATGTATCCCCCTAAATCTAGCTTTTATTTAGGGAAGTGAGAAAAGAAATTGTTTATATATATAGATATAAAAGTTAACTGCGTTAAGCTTTAAATAAACTATTTAAATAAAGAGTTTTGAAGCTGTAAGTGTCACCCTCTGGGACAGCACTGGCAAAGCCCACGTGGCAGTGCAGGGCAGGGCTCTGGGAACCTCGGTGTGAACCTGCCCTTCCCCTGCCTGAGCTGAGAAATGCAAAATGCTTATTTCCCTCTTCCTCTTAGAAAGGGAAAAAAGGATGAAACGTGTTCCATTTCCAGGGAGGAACATGTCAGGGCCCTTTCACACCCGCGCGGAAGGTTTGCAGGTTGGATAAACACAGGGGAAGATGCCGTTGGGTGGCAGCTTGTGTCCTGGGAGAAAGCGGGTGAGCCCTGGGGCTGCTGCTTGGGTGCTCCCCGTGGCCACCAGCCTGGTGGTGTGTCTCCACTGGGTGTGAGGGTCTGCAGACGTTGTGAGCTCCAGGGAGCAGGGAAGGCACCGGTGGTTCCTCGGCAGGGCTGGGCTCCCAGCGAGCCCCGGCTGCCATCCCCTTTCAGTGGCTTGAAATGGGCTTTGCTTTGGGGAAAGCTGCCTGTGACCTTTGGAACTGCTGACTTTCGTGTCCTCCAGCCAAACTTGGGTTGTCCAACTTGGGCCTCCCTTTCCTCTTTGGTGAATCTGATGCTCCCCTACCTCCCAAGGGCACCGAAAGCAGCAGTGACAAGGACATCGCTGTGTGTGCACGTGGCAGGGATGTTAGTGCTGCTCCCCAACAGCATCCCTTACCATTTATAGCGGAGAAAATTATTTCCTTGACCTTAAAGATGAGAAAAAGTTGTGTGGTGCTGGCTTTGGGCGCACCATGATCTGGTGGGTGCTTTGCTTCCCCATCCCTTGCTTTTCACCCCGCCGTGTCCCCGCTGGTGGCCGTGGGGCAGTGGTGCTGGCTCAGCAGGTTTCCCTCCGCGGGGATCGCGGGCTCCCCGGAAAGCTTTGGGAATGAAAAGCTGGTCACAGCTCATTGTTTGCAGTGGGTTTGTTTAATGTTTAAGCGGTTAAATGGGAAGTGCCGTGCAGGCAGCCGGGAAACCAGTTGTCATTTATGGCTTTCAGGGTGTGCACTGGGGTCACGTCCCACTGATTTTCTTGCTTTTTTTGCTTTTCTGGAAAACTTAAAAGCGCCATGTCCACATTAGGTAGCCAGGACCCTTTGAGAACTACTTAATATTCCGTTTTTCAGGTAGTGTGGAAGTACAAGGAAAGACTGGAGTCGTGTTTGGACACTGAGGCGGTGGTTCTTGGGGCACCAGGAGCAGGAATGTCACTATTTGGGATTTCTCCCCGTGCTGGGGGTCGAGCGGCGCTCCCCGGTGTCGCAGCTTCCTCTAGCGGCCACGCTCGAAACCGTTTCAGAAGAGAAACCAATAATTGGGTTGAAAGAGGAGGACATCCGAGTTCCCATTTTCTCACTCCTTTAGTTCTTTGGTTTGGGTGATGGGCAGGAGGGGTCCCTACTGAAAATTCTCTGGGGTCTTTCCTTGTTACGGTTTTCTTTTGGTGGAAAAGTATCTCTTTGAAGTGTGTTATGTCTTTCTGGCAGCGTGGGCTGAGCCGGGGGTCGCCGTGCTCCCCTTCGGAGCAGGTTTGTGTCACCCCCGCTGGGGACCACGTTGTGTCTCTGCTGGTTTCCTTCCTTTGCCTGCGAGGCTGGAGTGGAGGGGATGAGCTTGGTGAGCAGCTGTGTGCCAGCGCGGAGAGAATTGGAGTGTCTTAACCTTTTTAAGTGGTTCTTGTTTGAGTTTGGAGTTAATCAATCAGACTTCTTCCCCTGGTAGTTCTTCCCTGGTGAATGCATAAACAGATCATTTGCCCTTCCCCTTCCTAAGAACCTGTTGGTGGGAACGTAGCTTCTCCCGGGGTTCACTTGTCTTTCATTGTGGGAGGGTTTTTTGATTTGTTTTTAGTTCTCACCCATTTTATGTGCCTGCTTTTCCCCCCCTGGGGAAGGGGGTCTGAGTATCCGTGAGTTTTACCTGCCTTACAGGGAGAGGTGCCAAAGGAGAGCCTGGATTGTGAGGATTAAAGGATCAATATTTCTGCAGAGAGGCTGGAATGTGTTAGTTGTTCCTGAAGTATTGTTATTTTTATTACCTAAGCCATGCTGTTTACTGGGAGGAAAACCAAACCAGGGCTTGTTGTTACAGCTGTCTCTTCTCTCAGCCATTTTCTCCCAGAGTCTTTCCTCCATCCCTCCGCGTGATGCTGCTCAGCCCTCTCAGGTGGTATCTTGACTGTGAAATATCATTTAACGAGTGATCCTTAATGAACACCTCGCCTAAATTCAGCTTCTGGGAGGGCTGCTGTCGGCCTTTCTGGGAAGTTTGTCTTTCCCCCAAACTTGGCTCATCTTGAAATGCCGCTTGCAGGCAGCAGAACAGGTTTAGATTCCTGTTACCGAGCAGGACCAAAGGTGAATACATTAGTGGAAATGCTGAGAGCTTTGAAGTTGGTGATTACAGGCCGGGGTATGGAAAGGGCTAATTGTGAAGAAAGGATCTAATTTGGTTTTCTTCCATAAGTGACTGTGATTTTACAGTTGAAAGGCCCAGATGCATCTGTGTTATCTCCTCCTGTGCGATTCTCCTCGTCGTTACTTGTACTGGTGTCTTTGATACTGAACATTTCTGATGTGGCAGAAAAAAACAAAGGTGCTTCGGGGCTTTGGCCACCGGGGATTCGGTTGCTCTTGACCAGAGGGGTTGATCTTGCTGTGTAATTGCTTCTTCAGGTTATTTCTATGGATATCCATTCGGTCCCTCTTTATATCTCATCCGGGTGTAACCTTCCAGGTGAAGACCAACAGCAGTGCTCTGTGACCTGAGGAGTGCTCATGTCTTACATTAATGTGCACTACGAATGTATACAGAATAAATGGAATATGACCATTAGCCCATGGTCCTGTCTTTTGTGTGTGGTGCAGAGAGACAACTGTCACGTTTCACAGTGAGCTTTATTTAAAATTGAAGGCCAGGCCAGTGATCACCAGTTGTCCTCACGCAATTCAAGCTGGACTTCTTGCAACCTTTTGTTTTCCAGGTCTCCTTTCCCTGAAGGAATGATGTCTGTGCCCTTATTTATTCTACCTGGAGCAATGGCTACTGTCTTCCACCTGGTCAGTCTCGCTGCAATGGGTTTAAAAAATAAATGAAAAAGAGAAACATGCATGCAGAGAGAGACAGACATCTTTCCCTCTCCGTTGGCTGGTGACCCATGGAGACATCTTTGCAGGACAATTCCACATGCTGCTGCTTTGAGCTGAATCACAGAATCACAGAGTGATATGGGGTTGGAAAAGAGGAATATTTATTTTGACGTGGCTGGAAGCGGTTCGCCTGTGTACTCTAAGCTCTGTTTTGGAAATAAAACCCTAAAACCAGCCCGTGCAGCACTGGGGGAAGGATGCCTGTGCCTGTGTGCAGTTCATAAACACAGCTGCTTGTGCAGCACTGGGGGAAGGATGCCTGTGTGCAGTTCATAAACACAGCTGCTTTGGACACGCAGGTGCCGTCATGGGGTTGCTTCCACCCTTGGCTTTTCTTGGTGGGAGAACCCAACTGGAGAGCGGCCGTGCTCCAGGTGGAGTGTACAGAGCTATTTTAAATTAATCCCATGGAGCAGGACTGTTAAAATGATGGAGGGGGAGAGCACTAACTCGGATGGGATTCGACACCTTCACCAGGACACGGTGCTTGTGGGAGCAACAGGCTTTAATGAGCAAGGGGAGCTCCTGGCAGTCCCATATTCAGATTTATTCAGTTCTGAGCCAGCATTTGTTGAGGGAAATAGCAATATCTTGTGTCTGGGACAGAGGCACAGGAACAAGGTAGTAAGTTGTCCTGGAGTTGGGACCAGTCCCTTCTCAGTATTTTGGCCATGGGTAAAGCAGAGCCTTGGGCAGAGTGGGGAATTCAGGGTGATGGCGATGTCTTTGGAAAGGTGTCTGTCCCCTGACGGCCTTGGGAGTGGTGTCTGCAGGCAGGAGAGGTCATGGGGGAGGATGGATCCCACTTTAAAGCCCATTTTTAATCCTGTGAAACGCTCTGTTGAGAGCTACCAGCTTTGGGGAGAAGGTTCCCACCTCTGCAGTGGCTGTTGGTTGACTGGGATTTGTTGGCTTGTGTTGGAAATGCTGGACACCCAGGATGTCTGGGCTTATCAGTGCTGACAAGGATCTGAAGGGTGGGTTGAAGGAGGATGGAGCCGGACTCTTTTCAGTGGTTCCCAGTGACAGGACGAGGGGCAACGGGCACAAGCTGGACCATGGGAAGTTCCACTCCAATGTGAGGAAGAACTTGTTTGGGGTGAGGGTGGCAGAGCCCTGGCAGAGGCTGCCCAGGGAGGGTGTGGAGTCCCCTTCTCTGGAGATCTTCAAGCCCCACCTGGATGCTCCTGAGTGATGTGCTCTGGGCAGCCCTGCTTTGGCACGGACTTGGGCTCGATGATCTCTAGAAGGTCCCTTCCAACTCCAACAATTCCATGATCTCAGATGTTAGAAACCCTAAATCCTCCATTTCTGTTCGACTAAATGCCTCGGCAAACAAGTGCTGTCTAACTTTGGGTCAAGAAGTGGCAAAAGTAGAATGTGTTTGTGTGTGCTGTAGAGGGCACCTTATTCCTTTGTCTTTTGGCAGGGCTGAGCCCCCGTGGGGACCTGCAGATAACACTGGGTATATTGACGTTTTGATAACTGCTCTTTGCTTTCAGCCAGAATTTGCTTTTTTATCCAATCTTAATAAGTTGATCTTTCTATCAATCCTGCTAGCAAACAAGATAATTGCTTTATTATAGTCTCAATATCCAGCAAAGGACACATACTTCCCCGTGCTCCCCGGGGAATGGGATCTGTGCAGAGCCCTGACACGGGATGAGCGCGGCGATAGCGGCGCTGGGCTGTCGGGGGGTGATGGGGGGAGCGATTCCCCCGCTCTGAAGAGCCAGCAGCTCCGAGCTGGGATGAAAACAAGGGCCAGGGGAGGTCTAGAAAATATTTAGGTTATAACTGAAAACATTTTGGTCCCTCTGCTAGAAAATATTTAGGTTCTAACCGGAAAATATTTTGATCTGTTTGCTAGAAAATATTTAGGTTATGACCAATAACATTTGGGGACATTTGCTAGAAAATATTTTGGTTATACCGGAAACGTCTTTGGTCTGTTTGGGTGTTTCTTGGCAGTTTGGGAGGTTTGTGTTTGTGGTTCTCTTTTTCTCACAGAAAAAAAGAGAAAGTTAGAAATTTCCTGAATTTCCAGGGTGGTGCAAGGACCCAGCGGATGGGTTAAACCCACCCCACGTGGGGAGTCACGGCACCTGCCTTTTGATGCAGGGTGGGGGAATTTGTTGTTCCACAACATAAAAAAATATAAAATGGGAAAAGATGTGATAAGGGCTGGAGCCCCTCTGCTGGGAGGGGGGGCTGAGAGAGTTGGGGGGTTCAGCCTGGAGAAGAGAAGGCTCCGGGGAGACCTTAGAGCCCCTTCCAGTCCCTCAAGGAGCTCCAGGAGAGATGGAGAGGGACTCTGGATCAGGGAGGGGAGCAACAGGACAAGGGAGAAGAGTTTTAAGCTGAAAAAGGAGAGATTGAGCTTAAATATGGGGAAGAACTTCTTTATTTTGAGGGTGGTGAGAGCTTGGCCCAGATTTCCAAGAGAAGCTCTGACTGCCCCATCCCTGGAGGGGTTCAAGGGCAGGTTGGAGGGGGCTTGGAGCAACCTGGTGTGGTGGGAGGTGGCCCTGCCCAGGGCAGGGGGTGGCACTGGGTGGGCTTTAAGGTCCCTTCCCACCCAAACCATTCCGTGATCCTGTCCAAAATGGCATGAAAGCAGGAGGATTGATGTGTGCGAAATAAGGAAAGGAGCTGCACCTGGAGGAGAGGATGGTGAAGGACTGGGAGGCTGATGAAGAGGTGAAGAAGGACAGACCAGATGAAGAAGTGGAGAAGGACAGACCAGAATGCAGAACAGCGCTGGAAACCACCTACGAGAAAGCAGAAGAAACCTCATGGGCTCCCCAAGCCCCTGGGCCAGGGGGAGCAGAGCAAGTTGGTTCCAGCTCTTTGCACTGTCCCCTGGGAAAGCCTCCATCCCTCCTCCGGGCCAGAAGGTCCCCCTGGGAGGGTGGAAGAACGGCAGACAAAAGTCCGGCGCGTTTCCACCCTGTGCCAAGAGCCGCCAGCACCTTTGTTTTGGGAAAAAGGGTTTGACCAGGTTTTGACGAACACAGATAACGCCCCACCACGGTGACGGTGACGTCTGGGTCACTCCCCTCTCTGCCGTGATAAGAGCTGGCCTCTTATCGGATGGTAACACTTTGATCTCGCTATCGAAGACGTGTGCTGCTCGATTCTCACCCGAGCGCCTCGCTAAGGACACAGACTCCTCAAAATCCTCGTGGCCCAAAAGACAAAGGAACCCTTGAAGCCGGGGGTGCACGTGGTGGTAATGGAAAGTGGAGGTCAGCAGATAAGGGGGAGTCGCTGCTTCCCGGTATAAAACTGGGAAGTCCAGGCACCTCGGGCCATCTGCTCTGGTCTCTGAGGAGGTGTTTGTGGACCGGTGGACAAGTCCTGCACCATGAAGTGGTTCATCCTGGCCCTGGTGTGTCTCCAGCTCTCGGAGGGGCTGGTGAGGTGGGTGTCCTGCAGCAGCTGCTGTGGCAGAAAGAGCGGGGAGCGGGTAGATGACAGACCCCGCTGCAGTTTTACCCTGCACGAGCTGCCCTGTGTCCCCGAGGATGCCAACCAAGTCTCACCAGGTGTGACTCCAGCCTCCTGCAGCTCCACGGACCATCATGGTCCCCAGTTCAGGCTGCATCCCTTGCTGGGAGGGCAGCCCCTGGGGACACACAAGGCAGCTGAGCAGAGGGTTCAAAAGAGCCCAGAGAACTGATCATTTGAAAATGACCAAATCTCCTCCTGGTTTCCTGCTGCATTTGTTGGGGTGGCTTTTTCTCCTCTGTGCAGGATCAAACTGAAGAAAGGCAAGTCTATACGGCAGAAAATGAGGGAGGCCGGAGTGCTGGACGAATACTTGAAGAAAGTTAAATATGATCCAGTCAAGAAATACGGCTTCAGTGATGACTACGTCGTGTACGAGCCGATCACCAACCACCTGGATGTGAGTACCCCAGGACCACCTCTCGCTGCCCGTCCACACACCACGCTCCCCTTTCCCTCCTCCTCCCCAGCTGATGGGGTGATCCCTTCACCCCTGAGATTGGTTTTTTCCCCACTCTTTTTTACACTTTTATTTTAGACTTTAGGAAAGTTTTCCCCCCAGCCATGAAAAGCAATGCGTTTCTATAGGTAACAAAAAGCATAACAAAATAAATATTTAATATGATATCTTTGGGGAGAAAATGCAGGGTGAGAGTTCAGTCTGTTCCTACCTACTTTGTTATGTGGAAGAGTGAGCCCAACATTCCCGACACCCTGCAAAGCGCTGGGATGCTGGTGTGGGGCTGGGAGCCTGGTCTGTCCCTGACCCTGTGGCCAACGGAGATACCCTGTCTCTCTCCTGCAGGCCTCCTACTTCGGGGAGATCAGCATCGGGTCCCCTCCACAAAACTTCTTGGTGCTCTTCGACACCGGCTCCTCCAACCTGTGGGTGCCCTCCACCTACTGCGCGTCGCCGGCGTGCTGTGAGTTTCCTCAGGAAATGCCCTGATGTTCCTGGCTAATGAGGATGGCCCGATGGCTGTGGCCATCCTGGGTGTCCCCAGAGCACAGAAACCACAGAAATCACAGAGGGGAGAGCAAAGTGACCAGTCACGGGGCTGACGTCCCGCTCCCCGGCAGGGCTCATCCCATGCGACTCGCTGCCGGTGGGAGAGCGATGGGGATGTAACTGCTGATGGCTTTGGTCAGGCTGGGGGGCTGCTGCGGGTGTGACAACAGCAGTTGTCCCCTTTGAGAGGGGCACAGACAAAACTGGGATGCAAACCCCTGTCTTGGAGATAGCCACGAGGCAGAGGAACAGCCCATTCCACTCTTCTTGCTCCCTGCCAGGGGAGCAAGCTGCTCCCTTCTTCCACAACTTGCTCCCTGCTGGGGAAGCCGATTCCCAGGCGTTATCCCGGCAGAGCCACTGGTGGTGGGATCCCACCAAGCACATGTCCAGGAGCTGTGCCCTCTTCTCTCTCACTCAGTCAATCACAAGAAGTTCAAGCCCAGTGAATCCTCCACCTTCACTGACAACGGCCGGTCCTACACCATTTCCTACGGCAGCGGCTCGCTCACGGTGGTGCTGGGCTCCGACACGCTGAGGGTGAGTGTGTCCCATGTCCTCCTTCTCTTCCTGTGTCCCCAACACCAGCTGGATGCCCCCATGGAAGGAGCCTGGGGAACAGATTAATGGAAGATCTCATGTAGAACAAGACTTGGGCAAACTGGTGGCAGAGCCCTGGAAGAGCCCAGGCTGGATGGGGCCTTGAGCAACCTGCTCTAGTGGGAGGTGTCCCTGCCCAGGGCAGGGGGGTTGGAACTGGATGATCTTTAAGGTCCCTTCCAACCCAAACCATTCTATGATTCTATGAAACCAGGGCCTGGGATGGACAGAACCGTTATAAAGTGGTTATTGCCACCTTCAGTTACCCAGATGGGTTTGTACTTTGTTTTAACTCAATTCCTGGTAATTTTCCCAGCTGCCTGGAGATGTTTTCACCAGCTCTGACCTTGCAGTGTGCTCCTTGGGCTTTTAGAGCATCAGCCCTCCCATCCGATGGCCGCTCTAAGTGCCCAGGCTGACCTGGTGTTCCCAACCCCTCCAGATCCAGACCATCATGGTCAAAAACCAGGAGTTTGGGCTCAGCAAGAAGGAGCCAACCCAGCCTTTCTACTACGCCGAGTTTGATGGGATCCTGGGGATGGGCTACCCCTCGCTGGCGGTGGGAGGGACGCCCACGGCGCTGCAGGGCATGCTGCAGCAGGACCAGCTCACCCAGCCCATCTTCAGCTTCTACTTCTCTCGGTAAAAACCCACGGGGGTCCCTCTGCACGTCCCACGTGCACCGGTGTCCCCCTGCCTGTCCCCAGGAGGGTTCCCTGTGGATTTGTCCCTCGCCAGCCCACGTGTGTTGCACCGATTGACCAGTCTCTGCTGGTGGAACTCTGTGTTTTTGCAGCCAGCCCAGCTACGCCTATGGGGGGGAGCTCATTTTTGGTGGCATTGACACTCACCTTTTCCACGGGGACATTACGTGGGCACCGGTGACCCAGAAGCTTTACTGGCAGGTCGCAGTTGACGAGTGAGTTGTGTTTGTACCTGATGGGCATGAGGGTGGTGCAGCTTCAGGTGTAGGACAGGGAACTGCTGGAGAGGGTATGAAGATGATGAGGGGCCTGGAGCATCTCCCTTACGAGGAGAGGCTGAGGGACTTGGGTCTTTTCAGTCTGGAGAAGAGAAGGCTGAGGGGGAATCTGAGCAATGCATACAAATACTTAAAGGGTGGGTGTCAGGAGGATGGGGCTGGTCTTTTTTCAGTGGTGCCCAATGACAGGACAAGAGGAAATGGGCACAAACTTGAATAGAAGAAGTTCCACCTAAACATGAGGAGGAACTTCTTCACTTTGAGGGTGGCAGAGCCCTGGCAGAGGCTGCCCAAGGAGGTGGTGGAGTCTCCTTCTCTGGAGACATTCAAACCCCACGTGGACACGTTCCTGTGGGACCTGCTCTGGGTGGCCCTGCTCTGGCAGGAGGTTGGAGGAGATGATCTCCAGAGGTCCCTTCCAACCCCATGTCATTCTGTGATTGCAGCAGGCACGGGCTCCAGACAGGGGTCAGGCACTGCATTTCAGAGCATCCCAGGCTTAGAGATCCAGCCGAGACAAGTTTAATTGCCAGCGGGTCCTCAAAGTGACATCCTTCTCCCTTCCTCCTCCTCCCAGGTTTGCTATCGGGCAGTCAGCGACGGGCTGGTGCAGACAGGGCTGCCAGGCCATTGTGGACACGGGGACGTTTATGATCACAATGCCCCAGCAGTACATAGACACCTTCCTTCAGAAAGTGGGTGCCCAGCTGACCAGCTACGGGGTGAGTGCAGGGGGTGCTTTGGGGGTGCAGGGGGAGGCTTGTGAGGGAGCCAGAAGCCGTGGGCTTGACCAGGTCCCACAAAACTCATGTGGCATCTACAGAACATGGTGCTGCAGGGAGGGACGAGGCGATGTGGCACTGCCAGGGGATAAAGTGTGTGTTATCCCTGCACACGGGGGTGTCGCTCCTCTCTTGGTGGGTGTTGTTCCAGCCATAACCTCCTCCTCACCCTCTCTCCACAGTATGCAGTCGACTGCAATCAGATCCAGAACATGCCCACCATCACCTTCATCATCAACGGAGCTCTGTTCCCGCTCCAGCCCTCTGCCTACGTCTTGAACGTATGTATTTAGCTGAGCAGCTTTATCCTGTTGAGTTCTTGAGGGCCAGGAAAGGACCTGGTGCTTCTTGACAAGCAGCAACGCTCTCCCTACGTGTGCAGGCAGATCCCACCTCCCCGGGGCCCAACTGGCAGGGTCTTGGTGCTTATTTGGGGCTCTGACTCCCCGTTATCCCCCCTGACAGGACAAAGGCTACTGCACTCTTGGGATCGAGGCCACCTACCTGCCTTCCCAGAACGGGCAGCCGCTCTGGATCTTGGGTGATATCTTCCTCAAGGAGTATTACACCGTCTTTGACATGGCGAACAACCGCGTCGGCTTTGCCCGGTCGGCGTAGAGGAGTGGAGTGGTGGAATCCAGCCCCTCTCCCTGCCAAACCCACCCCAACCAGCATTGCTGGGGGGCTCCTATGGACCTTTGTGTTCCTTCCCGTGCCTCCATGGCTCCCTGTCCTTCCGGGATTTCTGTGTAAGTGTGTCCTCAGTCTCCTGTTCCAAATAAACCCCAACATGCCAAATCGTCTCTGACCTCCTGAGCTTGTGGCTGAGTCAAAGTGGGAACATGAAGCCAGATGAGGTTGGGTGTGACATCTAAATGACCCCTAAATCCTGAAGTGGGGGCTTTTACAGTCAAGTAAAACAACAGCCGAGGTTTGGGAATCCTGGTCTGTGGCCAAAGGGGACGGGGAACACCTTGGCCGGGGGAGGCTCGGGTAACACTGCTCTTTCCTGGCATCCAGACTTGGTTCTTAGAAGCTCTTTATCATTGGAGCTCATTATCAGATATATTAATAGCTCTGTCATTTCACCAGAGGAAGGACACAAACTCCGCTGTGCTTTGTGTCAAAATATTGACAGAGGCTGAGCGCAGCGAGAGGAGACAGGCGCGGGTCCCGGGGGAGGGAATTCCTCCTCCCCGATAAAATGGGGAGGTTTCGGGGAGCTGAAGCTGCTCTGGCAGCAGCAGTGGCAGGAAGGGACACGCGATGGCTGACCATGTCCCCGCTGCTCTTTGCCCTTCCCTTTGCTTCCTCCAGGATCCGGCCAAGCAAAGGCAGATCCACCAGGATGGGATGGAGGAGGAGAAGGGTTCCTGAGCTGCCACAGGTTCAAAGCACCAGTCTGGGCAGCCTCGGGCTTTTGGTCCAGCTGGGGCTCCTCTGCTGAGAGCTTCCCTAGGGGGAGGAAAGGGTCTCCTGGGATTAAAAATCCCCTGGAAATGAATGCCTAAACACACACTCCCCCTGGATTTTTCCTGCCTGGCCATGACAAAGAATATGGGAGACACCACCAGACGTGTGACCTGAGCATCCTCTGGCATGGATAATCAATGGCAGCAAATCAAAGCATCCTTTGGAGATGGTTGAGTGGTTGCAACCAAGCAGGTAAAGGCCTGTTACACCTTTCAGGGCTGCTGTACCCAGCAGCTTCCAGCCCCCACCTCAGCTTCCCTGGGGGGTTCTAGCAGAGCTGGAGGGCAGTGAAGGGCAGAAGAGTGACTGAAGGACAAATCCCTGGACAGACAGACATTTTAGGGAGCATGTGCTGGTTTCCAGGAGGCTTGGAGCTGGGCTGAAACACCACCTCTGCCATTTCATGCTAGCCACGTTGAGGGAATTGGATGTAACACAGTCTGGAGACTTGGCTGGAAGGAATACTGTGGCCTCGTGGCACTTCCTTGGCTGCCTGGATGGGTCAGAAGAGGGACACAAGCATCACAAACTTCCGTTTGCTATAAAGGGTGTGTTTTGCCTTTGTTTTCTGGAATGGTCAAGCTGGTGCTGAAGGCAAGGGAAAACACTTTAACTCCTCGATAACAACAGAACTCCGGGTTTTATCAGATGTCACATATTTGGTCTGGGTATCAGAGGGACGGGGCCAACCTGTGAGGACCTCAACAGCCTGGGAACGGAAGGGAAATCAGGGCGGCTGCAGCGATAAAGGTACCGCAAGTGTTGGTGTGGGGTGGGTGCAGAGATAGGGGCAAGGGGTGTCGGGACCGAGGGGCTGGGCACGGCTCCTGGATATATAGATATCTAGATATATAGACCCTTCCCTGCTCGGGCTGGTGCAGGAGCTGCCAAGGAGCCACCAGCACCTGGGGCCATGCGGTGGCTGGTGCTGGCCCTGCTCTGCCCCTGCCTCGGGGAGGGGATGATGAGGTGAGTCCCCCGGGGCTGGGATGGGTGTGAGGGTGCAGGGTCTGGCCGTGGGCACCCCACCTTTGGCACATGGGGGTGCACACAGAGATGGGGCCATCAGACCGCTCGGCATCTCGCTGCTGTCTCCATCCCACCCAGGATCCCCCTGAGGAAAGGCAGGTCCATGCGGGAGGTGATGAAGGAGAAGGGGGTGCTGGAGGCTTTCCTGAAGGACCTCAAAGGGGACCCCGGTAGGAAATACCAGCTCAGGAATGCCATGGCTTACGAACCGCTAACGAACTACTTGGATGTAAGTATTAAAGCTTTTCCTTCCTCTTCTGGAGCTCACCTGGCTCTGTTTTTTGGGGCTGCCTGCGGGAAGCTCCCTCCCTGCTCCCCAGCCAAGGGGCTGTGCTGGGCACGGGCAGGAGCTTCGCCGTCTTTGTAGCCCAGCTCTGGTGTTGGGTGTTGGGAGATGAAGGCAGGAGCTGCAGGTCTTATCCTGAATTGATTTCCCTTCTCAGAAAAAGCAGAGTTTGATGATTATAGGGCAGCTCTACTACTCCCAGCCTTGCTGCTGACTGTGTTATGTTGTAGGCTAATTATTGCCCCTCTCTGTGCTGTAGCTGCCCTGGGTGCTCTCAAGGACCATGAGCCCTTCCTACCAGCCCTGCAGCAGTTTGGGTTTCTCAGGTAGTGGAGGGCAGAGAGCTGAAAACTCTCTCTCAAAAAAAACAACCCCAAAACCCCAGGCAGAAACAGAAATCCTCCCACGTTCTTGTTCGCAGTCCTTCTACTTCGGGGAGATCAGCATCGGGACCCCCCCCCAAAAATTCCTGGTGCTCTTTGACACCGGCTCTGCCAACCTGTGGGTGCCCTCCACCTACTGCCAGACCCCAGCCTGCGGTGAGCATCCCTGGGGACACAGGGGGGAGCTGGGGTTTCCCCCACCACGGGAGCTCTCGGGCATCCCTCTGTGGGCTGGAGTGACGGCCGGGAAATCAGGGAGACCCCATGGGGTTTGGGGTTTGCTCTCGACTCCGTGACACCAAGCCCTTCCCTGGGAAGCCCCTTGGCTGGGGATTTCTGCCCCTGTGGGGCCAGAGATGCTGAACCGAGGGCAGGATGTGACCCTGGGGGCTGTGACCTTCTCTCCATGCAGGGAATCACGCCAGGTTCAACCCCAGCCTGTCCTCCACCTTCTCGGGCATCGGTGTGACCTACACCCTGAGCTACGGGTTTGGGGACCTGTCGGTGGTGTTGGGGTACGACACCGTGACGGTAAGTGACCTGTGACGTGTGGGTGCGTTGCTGCCATCGGGGTGAGAAGTGACTGTGGTCGTGATCAGTCCAATTCGGTTAAAAATTGAGGGGGCAGCTGTAAGTACCTCTGATTTTGGGTATTAGTGCCTGGATCGCCCTTGTAGAGTTCATGGTGTGTCAGCCTCAGAGACTGGGATGTGAAAACCAACCCAGACCGAGTCCTCTGGGCTCTTCATCACTGGAAGAGGGTGATATCTTTGGCCTTAAATGTTTGCTTTTTACACTGATGGCTGAGCTTCGTCATTAGAGGACTTAAACGTTCTGCTGTGAGACCCACATGCCGTGGAAATGTGATTTTAAACAAATTTAACTGAGGCAAATCCCTTTTGTGGGTATTTTTGTGTAATAATAAGGGTGATGGGACATAGAGTACGAGCCGGGCTACCCCCAGCTCCATCTCCCACCTGCGATGGGGGAGAGCTGGGCACCTCTTGGTGCAGATTTACCTTCACAACCCTCCTGGCCATCCCTGCCTCTCCCCAAAAACTCCCCGCTGGGATGCTGTGTCCAAAATACCGACATCTCCCAGCATCTTTCCTCTCCCTCTAGATCCAGAACATCGTCGTCAGGAACCAGGAGTTCGGTCTGAGCCTGGATGAGCCCAGCAGACCCTTTTACTACCAGGACTTCGATGGGATTTTGGGCATGGCTTACCCGGGCGTTGGCATCGGTGGTTTCAACACGCTGCTGCAGAACCTGCTGCAGCAGAGCCAGCTCAGGGAACCCATCTTCAGCTTCTATTACTCCCGGTGAGACCTCGGGGTCTCTCTTCGCACACGGACACAGCCTGGATCCATCCTTTTCTTCATTCCCTCTCCATCCACACGTTATTCTCTCACACCTCTATGCTACACCGCTTTCTGCTCAGCAGCCTGTCTGATTTGGGGTTGAATTTTGTGTCTTTCCAGCAACCCGACCTATAGCTACGGCGGGGAAGTCATCCTCGGAGGGGTTGACCCCCAGCTGTACTCCGGGGAGGTTATTTGGGCTCCTGTGGTCCAGGAATTGTACTGGAAGATTGGGATCGAGGAGTAAGTGCTGCACTGTGACTTGGAGGGGTCTTGAGGGTGGAGGGAGCCTTTTCTGATGCTTTTTCTGCGATTCCCTCCAGGTTCTCCATCGGGCCATCGGCCACCGGCTGGTGCAGCCAAGGCTGCCATGGAATTGTGGACACTGGGACGTTCCTGCTGACCATCCCAGGACAATTCATGTCAGCCTTCCTGCAGGAGTTGGGTGCGGAGGAGAGTGACTATGGGGTAGGTGGGAATGATGTCCCATGCACACGAGGGGGTGATGCCGTGGGATGAGGATGCACGTGGGTGGTAATGCTGAGCCACGAAGGGTTCCCGGCACCTCTGGAGCAAAACATCTCCCTTTGCTGTGGTGTAAAACAGCAATAATTCTTCCAAACATGGTAAACCTGGGGCAGCACAGCCCTGAGGGACCCTTAGGGAGCATGGCCGGGGTTACAGCTGGAGGAAGGATGGTCCCCAGCCCTGGGGGTCCTGACCCTCTGCTCTTCTCTGCTTCTTTTGCAGTTCGTGGTGGACTGCAGTGATGTCCTGAGCATGCCCACCCTCTACTTTGCCATCAGCGGAGCCCAGTTACAGCTGCCTCCCTCTGTCTATGTCTTAAACGTAGGTGTGATTTTATCATCCCCACCACGTGTTCACCATCACAGGGCAGTTTTTCCCAGGAGAAAGTCAGAGTTTCTTTTCAAACACAGAGGCTTCCAGCAGCCCTAGTGCCATATTTCCCAGCACCCGATTTCACGGGGCTTTTCCGTGCCTGTATGGGACTGTAAGGAATCATGGAATCAGGGAATTGTCGCAGTTGGAAGGGACCTTCTAGAGACCATCCAGCCCAACTCCCTGCCAAAGCAGGGCTGCCCAGAGCACATCACTCAGGAGCATCCAGGCGGGGCTTGAAAATCTCCAGAGAAGGGGACTCCACACCCTCCCTGGGCAGCCTCTGCCAGGGCTCTGCCACCCTCACCCCAAACAAGTTCTTCCTCACATTGGAGTGG